TATAATCATGCATGATAATGGCTAGTTCGTCTGTCTTGGAACTTTGGTGAACGCCAGAATTGATCTTAAGATTTTGTCACCCTAGATTGGCCGAGTCTAACTGTAGCGAACAGCTGAGGTGTGGGGGAGTCACCCCCATATAGATCTATACACAAATTCTCACTCTCCATCCAGGAGACTTTGATTATAACTACAGACTACGACCGACACACGTTGGTGCTATCTGTTATTACTCACTAAATCCCAATTGACTTTGATTACTATTGATTATCGACCCGTATTTGTTTACTTGGATTGATGATAGGCCTAATAAACGGGGAGAAGAGGATTACAAGATCCTACTATTCCAACATATTATTTATGGCTATTGATTATACGAAGGACACACTGACCCATTTCGCATTTGATTTACTTGGACCTTACTAGCAATGCTAATGGGCCACTAAGGCCCAATAGCACTTAAAAGCCATTGAGGGTCCCTTAAATATGAAATTGGGTCATAGAAGGCCTAATAACATTTATAATTATCCCTTGGGCCCAAAAATCATGTTAATGGGTCACAAAGGTCCAATAAGCATGTGTGGAACTTTCAAGCCCAAAGGATTTAATGTTTACTTGTTTTAGGTATAGTATAGATGTCGGAAATATTTAATTGAACAATTGTTAAATTTGTATCGATACGAGACCGGACGTCGTTTAGAACGATATTTGGAAATTTATATTCATCTTGTCATATTTCATAAGAGGTGGTTTGGAATTTTTGACCCAAATATCTTAATAATAAAATAATTGTCTCAAAATATTGGTTTGACCTTTTCACCCATTCTTTAATAAAAATGACAATTTTAGTCCCTTATATATATATATATATATATATATATATATATATATATATATATATATATATATATATATATATATAAAGACATTTTAGGCCCTAAACACTATTTTCTTGTCATTTTTGACCCACAGACATTGTTTAAGTGATGGTTTTAGCTAAAAATTTACTTTTATCAGTTTCAGCCCTTCCAGAAAAGTGTTTTTCGGTTAAAGCCCAAACTTTTTGCAACTTTTACAATTTTGGTCTAAAATCTAAAAAGTTTACATTTTAATATCCTTGTTTGGAAAATACATCATTTTGACCCCTGAAATAGTTTTATTTACCATTTTTACCCCTTGTTTGAGAAGTTTATCATTTCACCCCCTTGAAAGTTTAGATTTTCTCAAGTTAGGGCTTAATGGGCCGAAAAGCCCAAAATTTGGCCCATTAAACTACAATTTACACTTCTAGCCCTTAAAAGAGTATGATATCCATAAAAACATTTAGTTTTACTGATTTGACTCTTTTAGCCCTTAAGAAAACTGTGAATGATAACTTTTCAACCCAACTTTTGTTTGTTTGACAATTTTAGCTCAAAAATGGGATTTATGTTGCAATATCTATATTTTAAATCTTAGAGGGTAATTTTTCTTGACTTGTTTTAGTGTAATACTTCTTAGATCATGTTTATCTTCCTCTTAGAGCCATAGATCTCGAGTTTCTATTCTTTTTGTTACACTTTTACCACATAAACACATGAAATCACACATAACATACACATACGCATAGATATACACATTTTACTTGTATTCTCCCCCATAAAACACATGAAAATCGAAAATAGAGGGGTATGAACTCACCTTTGAGGTTTGGATTTGGTTTTGATGAAGATTTAACAGAAGATTTCGGCCTAACAAGCTTCTTTAGAAGTCCTTGAGCTTAGATTTCTTCTAAGGAGTATGATCATGAAGTTGAATGAAATAAAAGATGATTTTTGATGAGGCATAGAAGTTAACCTTTGGAGTTAAGTATGAACTTACCAAAGATTTGTAACTTGTAGTGATTTTTGAATGAAAAAAATTCTTGGAATGCTTCTAATTCTCAAAACTTTGGATGAAAGGAAGAAGAGAGTTCTTATGTGTTTGAGAGAGATTTTTTAGAGTGTATGTGTGTGTGTATGTGTTTGAGTTGGTTTCGGCTGAGAGTTGGGGAAGGAGGAAGAAAAGAAGGGATTTTCCATAGATACATGTGATTACATTATTTTATGTTGTATATTAAGCTTGGTTGACCCCTAAACAAAAGTGAGGTATCATCTTCACCTTAATTCCTCCACTAATCTCTTTTCTTTTTTCTTTTCTTTTTTAAACTTTGGGCCGAGAGAAGGAAAGAAAGAAAAGGATGATCGGGCCTTTGCTGCTTAATTCCATCTTATGGGCCCATTTTTGATGATTGTTTTGGCCTATTAGGCTCCTATGATGAATTACAGCCCAATTTGGCAAAAATAATGGGTTTCATAGCCCATTAAAGCTAATTAGGTTAGTTATGGACCAATAAGGTCCATTAGGGTATTTTATTTCATTCTAGGCCCAATATCGCCGAAAATATTAAAATAAATGGAAGTGGGTCCAATTAGAGCCCATTTAAGAGTTCTAAGCCCAAAATAATCAAATTGGAAGCTTATTGGCCCATTAGGTCCAATAAGGAAATCCTAATCCATAATGGACTTAAACCGGGATTTCTAGGGTTTCCAATCCTTTGTTGACTATTTAAAGTGCTTGCATAGAGCGTTTGATGTAAAATTTGTTGTTATTGAATAAGCATCATACATGGTTTCACATTTTTGGTTCACATATGTTATTGTTGTTGTTGTTACATGGTATAGAATTCCTAGTTGTGACATGTTTCTTCTTACAACTCCATTTTTGTGAATATGGAGCTTAGATCCACCACCATTTCGAGATCTCTCAAAGAACTCAAGCTAGGATTTAAAAATTCTTCATCTTCTTCATCTACATCTAGAAAACCCTAAGGTGTGTTCATACCCCCTCGTTTTCAGTTTTATAATGTTCTTGGGGGAGGATAAAAGTGATTTTGTGTGTAGATCTATGTATATGTGCATGTTTATGTGTTTAACTTTTAGATCTTTACTTGAACATGAAGTTTATCACTTGGATCTTCATAAAAACCTTGAGAAAAGTATGTGCTATCACATATAATACATGTAAACTTGTAGATCTACAATTTATACACTTAAAATAGCAAAAAAAAGTGTTGTGAACAAACTTGGATAACTTAAACTCAAGAATCAACCTTTCACAGAAAAGTTTTAGTCTAATCTTGGACTGTTTTGACCCCCTTAATGGAAATATTTTTCAAAACTGTTTTACATGCAAAAATCTCAGGTCATTACCTTTAAAATGACAATTCTCACGTTTTCATACGATTTTTCTACAAGTTTTGGCGAATTCTACAAAACTGCCTATCATATTTGAAATAATCTCGAACCTGCTTGTGAAGGTGAGCAATTTCACACTTTTTTGAGGCCATTAAACATTATGAGAAACGTTTGAACAAAGTAGGCAAAATTTCCTAACTTCCAGAGTTTACAGATCCAAATTTTGACTTACGATGATTTTTCTACAAATTTTCCAACAACCGGGTCAGAAAAGTCAAAAACCAGAAAAATGTTTATTTTCACAAAAATCAATCCAAAAATGATATTTTGATAAAAATGGGTTTAAAATGTTATCTTTACCAAAAACTAGCCATAAATACAAGTTATGAACAAACAGGGGACTAAAGTGTTATTTTCACTAAAAAATGGGCTTTAATTGAAAATTTGTGGCTTATTAGGCCAAAGACATCATTTCTACAAAAGTGGACTTTTTATATTAATTTTGTAAATAATCGAGCTAACACTAGCAATATAGTAACAAATGGACTAATTAGGTTATTTTTATTTTTATTGGGCATTAGTAACGCATTAATATGTTTCATACGTCCTGAATACTATTTATATATTTGTTAGGCCTCATTGACCCATTAACATGTGCGACGGGCCTTGGATTCTATTTGCGTGTTATATGGGCTTGTAAATACCTTACATGTGAAATGGGCCTTAGTGGTCATTTTACTTATATTTTGGGCCCATGTTATATAATTTTATTCCTATCGGGCCTTCAAATGAGTTACATGTTTAGTGATGCCTTAGTGGTTCACTTACATAGTTCATTGGGCCTGGGAATGAGTTTTATATGTTTTTCTTCTTTTTCCGCATAAACTTTGATTAAGGATCTAGTGAGACGTTTCGTTTGGCACCAAATGAGTGTACAAACGTAGCCTGTAGTTATAACTAGAGTCTCCGGAGCGAGAGCGTGAGTTTGTGTATAAATCTATACGGGGATGACACCCCATACCTGGGCTGTTCGCTAAAGTTAGACTAGGCCAGTCTAGGGTGGCAAACCATACCTTAAGCAAGTTAGCGTCTAATAGACGTCATGACAGGCGAAATTTTCATTATCAAGTATGGTTATAATGACTCACTTAAAGGAATTAACATTATAAGATTTATGGGAAACCATTATATTTTCTTTTTGGGATAAAACAACAATCTATACGCACCGGTACTCAACCATGAGGGTTGAGATTCCAGCATTATCTATCGCAAACAACATCAGGTTGTCTGGAATAATTCTCTTTCTATTTTCGCAAACATTAACACACATGCATTAATATAAGATCGGACACAGATATTTCAAACCATTTCTTTTTAGAAAATATCGGATTTTTGAAAGCACTGTGAAAACTATTCTAAACAAGTACAAAAACCATTTTTATTCAAAACTGCTTATGAACTCACCAACTTTTTAGTTGACGCTTTTCAAAACGACTTGTATTCTCAGGAATTCTAGTAGCAGGTAATTAGCTCGACTATGAGATCAAGTGGTGTGACTTCAAGAAATTTTACTTTCTTACTTTTGTGTAACTGATGAACAAGTTCAATATGTAAACTATGTTAGTGTGTATTTCCAATGCATAATGTTTGTTTGCTATGTTTCATTCATATTCAATTGTTATGATACTTTACAATTACATCAACCGCCCCTGGACGTTTCCGTCGTCCCGGTTCGGGGGTGTGACATTCTTCTCCTTCAACAACATATTATAGAGTACGATCCAGTCATAAGGATTCAGACAAGGCAAATCTGCAAGTGAATTCATAGACCTGACTCGTCGATCCTCTCACAAATTTAAACTGTGCATTGGGAAAGCTATCAATCTCGATCGACCCTATGAGTTTCACACCAGTTATTTTGCTAGCACTCCATGTTTCATATTGGGGCTTCATGTGCTTTAGGTAGAAAGAAAAAAACATATGGTCTGGTCCGTTGTCTGTGATTGGAGCTTTCGCAATTTTCACAAAAGCAAGAAACCTGAAAGCCTTTGGAGTGATTGGTAGTTCCAGTAGCGAATCTTGTGTGTTTTGAAGATCAAACGACACACCTGGCTCTAACCAATACTCGCTGGGAAGATCAACCGCATCATGCTAGATACGCTTCAAGGTCCACTTTAGAAATAAAAGCTTTCTGCTCTAAAGTGTGGCCTGATCTTCTTTATCAACCCTTTCTTTTTCTTCAGCCTCATGGATGATTCGGGTGTTCTTATCCAATTCAGCTTCACGGACCTTTCATCTTTTGAGCTCATCTTCATATCGCTCTTGTTTATCTTCACTATTTTCAACGATGGGCTCATCTTCAAATAGTTTTCCTTGCCCTTAGGTTCTTGTTAGACAACTAGCTTGGTTGGAGCTTTAGGACCTTGTTTTCTTGTCATAACAGTTGACCCACCTTCTCCCATTTGTTTTAGAACAAAGGTTTGATCCAAAAAACCCTGCAATTTGTGAAGCATTGCGAAAACCAGCCTCAAATTCTCATTTAGATGCTTCCGGATAGAGATGGTGATCATGGAGTCTCTTGTTTCAATGACATCCGAGAGAAAGCTTCTAATATCAGATATACAAATTTTTGTTATAGCCTTGTCAGTAAGAAAATCTTGAACCTTTTTCTCAGCATTTTTGAGCTTAACTGAGAGAACCTTCACTCGTTTAGTTTTAGTGGCAAGAGAGTCCATAATTTTACTCTCCACTACCAGTTCTTTTTGAAGGTTCGAAATCTGAGAAGAGATGGAAGTTTGAAATGCTTCGTGATCAAACCGGAGACCTGTGCGAATCTCTTGTAACTTAGCCTTCTCTTTTTTGAAGAGAGAAACCAGATTCTGCAGAGACTTATTGGCATTCTTTGTATTGTTGTTGATGGTTGTCTGAATGTTCTCCATGAACGAAGTGGTCTCAGAATTAGTTTATCGACTTTTTTGGTCATCATCTTGCAAACTTCAGTAGAATCACCAATAGCCTTACTCATCTTTTCTACATTGGCCGCATGCTCTTTTGTTACACATTCAAATAGCGACTCAACTGCTTCTTTAGAATAAGAATCAGAAGATGATGATTTGGAAACAAGAAGTAGTTGGCCTATCTTTTCATGTAGGGACTTGAGTTGCTCTTTCGTAGCAGATGGCTCATCCTCATTTTCAGACCTAATTTTGAAGGGACTGTAGGTGAATCCTCCAAGAGCTTCATCAATATCATCATCATCCCCGAAGACCATATCTAGATCATCTTGGCTAATGGGGAAATTGGAGGTGAGACATGGCTTAAGAAACTTATGTTTTAGCCCCCGTATTAGATACGTTGACCAAAACAGGAGGTTCGGTGGAGGTAGTTGGTGGGACAGTAGAATTTGTGAACAAATGAGTAGAAAGTGGAATACTGGTTTGTGGTTGTGAGGAAACTGGTGGAGGGCATGGCGCAGTAGTAATTAGGGTTGAAGTGGTTTCAGGTGAAGGAGGAGGAGAAGGAACAAAATCATTGAAAGTTTGAGTTACCTCAGTATTGGGATTTGGTTCCTCAGTGCGAGTGTTGTCACCCTCCTCATTGTGGACATCCTCATTTCAAACTTCCTCATTATGAACAAGATGATCCTCCTTTATGTGAATATATGAGTGAGTATCACACTCATCTTCACTTTCACTTGATTTGAGGGTCTTTCTCTTGCAAGCAGGCTGCTTTCGCCTTTTAGGAGTAGCACTAGAAGAAGCGGTTTTTGCTTTTTGCTTCTTTGGTATGTTCACATGCCCATAAGGTCCTTCTTTATCAGCACATTTCTTTTCTCCCCTCTTCGCACCCTTTTCGCCTTTCTTGGGTTTATCTGCAGCAATGATTATTGTTTGCTCTTTCGGGTTTAAAGGATTAGCCCCAGATGGAGTAAATTTCATGTAGCCCTCCAGGATTTGCTAGAAGATGGAACATCATGAAACATGGATTCCAGAATTGAGCCAATTAAGGAAAACTTCGAAATGTCAAGGACGATGATGCCAATGGTGTGAAATGTTGAGATAGAGGCCATCAGTGCATCTTGCATCAGTGGGATTTGTAGCTGGTCAATGGCCCTTTGGACAATGATAGCCCAAAAATGTGCATAAGATATTTCATTGTGACATGTAGTAGAAAGTGTGTTGTGAATTACTTGAGCCCAAAGAACAAATCCATAGTTAAGATTGGAGACTATGTAGAGGCTGTAGAGAATCGCCTTGAATAGCTTGCTTGCACAATCTAATCCTGACACCCTTTCAGAAAAATCCTTGAAAAGCAAAGTGAATAGACCATTCCACTATGGAGGCAAGTTGGGTTTGCTGAACTTCAAGATGGCGGTTACGGTTTCCTTGTAACCCATCTGGTAGAACATCTCAATGAGAGCAACACTAGTAACCGTTTCTGGGTTGATTATATCTTCTATTTGAGGAATCCCTAGAAGAGAACAGAAGAAAGCTTTGGTGATGGAGGTGGTACGGTTGTGGATTTCAAACTTGATTCTTTGTACTTCCTTGACACAAAGAGCTGATGAGTAAGCTTTAGAGAGAAGCGATAATGGTACATTCTCCATCTTCTAGAGCGTAATAGTCAAAGAATAGTATTTCAAACACTCGACTATAGGAAGCATGAAGGCGTCGTACTTGCAGGGATCGAGATAAATCACCAAGTTCGGATTTTGTTTAGCGGCCAAAAATGATCAATGAACTGTTTGATCTTGAGTGGAAAGATTTTCTGAATAACCTGCCATTTTTGATGCTTGAGAGTGAAGAAGATGAACAGTAGAAGTTTGAATCGCCAGAAATCTCTTGAGAAGATTTTGTAAGAGATAATGAGAGAAGAGTCATCAAAATCTTTTTATATGATTCGATTTGTGAACAAAATCCAAAGAGAGAATGCATCGGTTACTGAAACGTCGCCTAAAATAGAGCGACTTGATAACTGTAGATGTCAGACCCGTGCGTCATACGGCAGAAAAGTACCTAGCCGTTCAAATTTTCACGCGCCTTTTTGAATTCTTATCATTCGGAATTTCCGCGTCAACATCCACCTTTCGCAGTTAACCATTCTTTGACCTGTCTATCACGAACATTCATTTTAGGAAACATGGGTTAAACCGCGAACCTGAAAGTAACATTAAGAACCGCGAACAAGACTTATGGAAGATCTCAAGGATCTTCGTGAAACACTGTCAAAGATAAAGAAACAAATCAAAATATATCTGAGGAATTTCGTGATGTCTATATCAAGACACAAAACTATTGATCCCGAGCATAGATTGCTTCCTTCGAAGTCAAGATAGACTAAGAAGTGTTTGTGTGGTTTCCCATTGATGTATGATAAGATGTTTAATAAGAAACATTGAAAGGCATCTTTTAATTTGGTTAAATAGGCGGCTAAATATCCAACCAAACAACGAACTTAATATAAGTACGAATTTCGGATGAAGTACTCATGTGGCCAATGTAGTCAGTTGAACGAGTATGCTTGGAATTATTTCAGTGGCTAGATGTGTCACACCCTCAAACCAAGGATGGCAGAAACGTTCGGGGGTGGCGAACTTCATGTATAGTATCATAACAATGAGTATAATAGTGATCAAAGAAAATACAACCATCATAAATATAATTGAAAAAGTTACACCATAGTATGTATTTACATGTTTCAAAATCAATTACATTATGATGAAAAAATGAAATGTTTGACGCTTTAGCATCCCATCCTCAAAATCTGTTGATTTCCTGTTTCATTGACTTCCTGAGAATACAAGTAGTTTTGAGAAAGTGTCAACAATTAAGTTTGTGAGTTCATAAGCTTTTGGATGTGAATTTTGAAAGCCTTTGTTTGTAATTTAATGTATACCCAAGAAAATCCAATATTTTCCCTATAAAACATTATGTAGTCTTAAATCCCAAGACCGAATATATGTGTGTGTTTCGTACTTGTAATGATGTATGCAGTTTTAAATACATAAAAAACCCTTTTAAAGTAGAATTTCCCATAAACTTTAAGTGTTGGTAACCCCCTATGTGAGTCGCTATAACCATACTATGACTAAATGAACCTGCTACAACATTTTTCAGACGTATGAATGTTATGAACTTTGTCACCCACCGGTCCAACTGTAGCTAACAACAAGGTGTGGGGTGTTAATCCTAATATAGATTTATATACAACTATCACTCTCTCCCAACGAGAGATTCTGGTTATAACTTATAGGAATTTTAACTCGTACTCTAAGAGTACAATGAAGTAGTATCTCACAATTTATGTTAACAAGTTTACGTGTCGTGTGAATGTAAAACCTTTTTTTTGGGGTGAAAATGAATCCCCTTTATGTAGTGTCTTTGTAATGAAAAATCCTTAAACTATACCTATTATAGTTTATTATACGTGTTTGAAGTGAATGAAAAACCTTATCAAGAGTGGCTAATTTCTGTTTATGATATTAAACTAACAAGAAATACATTCAACATTTAGAAACTTACTATTATACACTTTGCTCAACATGTTACAAAGTGTTATTAATATTGTAAGTTATTTAACAAGTTTTTAACTTTTCTGCACTGTTTTAGAAAAAATAATAGAAAAATCATACGGAGTTGAAAACTGAATCTATAAACTTTGAGAGTTTATAAATTGTGTCTAGTTTGTTCATAATGTTATTATGATTTTTAGTAATCTCTAACTTGTGTGAAAATGTCTATAATCACAGATAGGTCCGAAATGTTCATGGAATGATAGACAGTTTTGTAAAAATCGTCATATATTGTAGAAAAATCATATCGACATGTGCAAGTAGTCATTTTAATGTTATGAAGCTGAAATATTTTCACCTTGAATAGTTTTGAAAAATAAAAGGTTTAACATGATTAATACAATCCGTGAATGAGACCCAACGTTTCTGTGAAAAGCTGAAGAATGAGTTTAAGTTATGTTAAGGTGATTTAACTTGTATCCCCCCCCCCCCCCCCAACACTTGAAGAAAACATGAAAATGTAGGGGTATGAACTAACCTTGAATGATTTCTTGGGATGGATGATGAAGAAAAGAAGTTTCCAAGTCAAGAACACTTGGAAGATGTTTGAAGATTTGAAGATCTAGGAACAAATATGAAAATATTTGTATAAGAAATCCATGATTTGGATGAAAGATCATAGAATATTCAAGTGTAGGAGGAAGATACTTATCAAATGTGGAGGAAAAGCTGAACATCATCTTTGAAATCTCGAGTTTTGAGAGAGAGGAAATGAGATATATATATATATATATATATATATATATATATATATATATATATATATATATATATATATATATATATATATATATATATTTGCTTTTGGTGAAAGAGTGAATTTCTTGAAGGAGAAGCTTGAAATGAAGAAAATGAATAAGGGAAAAGACCATTTTTGCCGTGAATTAGAAGGAAATGGGGAAAGTGGTTGGGTGGGGTGGGTGGAATGAGTTATGAGGGGTGGTAATGGGGGAACATTCGATTTAATTAAAGATGTTCTACTTTTTAGGTTTTGTGTAAGTGCATAAATATGTCTTGTTTATGTTATGGAACATCATATTAACTAGTGATTTTCTATGAAAAAAGGTCAACCCTTTATAATTTCTTGATATTTTTATAAAAATGGTGGTGTTTTATAAAATAAATATGGTATAAAGGATGTATAAAATATTTAATTTCAATTATAAATATTCAAATTATTATAACAAGCATTATCATCAAAATAATAATACATTATATGAAAGTTAGGTTAAATTTACAATTTTCGATTCGTTAAAAATTTGATCTAATTGAATATATTTATTAATTAATAAGATAATTGTTTCCTTATAAGATAATTGATTAATTATTTTGATTAAATTGATAAATAGTTTTGCAAGAAATCATTAAACAAATCAAATATGGATAATTATGTAATTAAATGTTAGTTTAGATTATTTATTATTTGATCCTTGTTGTTATGAAAAGTTTCATATTTTACCCTTTAGGTTTTATCGTTTAAATCTGAACCCAAAGGTTTTGTTGTTTTGAAATTTAAATAATTGAAACCCTAATGTTTATGAAATGTTTCAAAACTTACCCTCAAGTTTTGGAATTTAAAAGTTGATTAAAAGTTAATTAGGAATGTTAAATTCTAAAACCCTAGTAATGTTTTGAAAAGTTCAAATACACTCTTATGGTTTTAGTAAGTAATTAAGGAGTATAATTACAAGAGACATAAT